CTCTTGTTAGCTAAAGCTGAGGTGGCACCGTATGGCAATACATACATATAGCCAAACAATCCCCTGGATCCATTGCAATTCCACAATGTTACATGTCTGTTGTATGTCCATAGACCTTGAAAAATTGTCTCCATTTCTTTTTTAGGCCTTTTTGGTGTATTTTCTTTTCTACTGTTGTTATTCTATTACAGCTTTCCCACCATGTTCCCCCTTGCCCTCTTCCGCCCAGCCCTCCCCCCCCCCCCCAACCCCCACAGTCTGACGGAGACAACACTTCCTATGGCAGGAAAATGCAATGAACTCACACAGCAGCAGGTGTTGGAGAGTCTGTGAATATCTTCACCTACGTATCCCTTTATCTACTGTCTGTGTGTCTATGTATCTGTGGGTCCGTGTCTGTCATTCTCTCTACCTATTTCTCTATCTATCCACCCACCTACCTACCTCCATCTGTCAGTTATCTCTCTGGCCTCCAGTTCTGAAACAATAAAAAAATTTCTGTTGTCTGAAGCCACAAAGTTAGATGTAATTTGTTATAACAGTTTTGCCAGTCTCCCTATCCTTCCTTTCCTTTCCCTTCCTTTCTCTTCCCTTCTCTCCTCCTCCTCCTCCTCCTTCTTCTTCTTCCTCTCTCTCTCTCTTCCTCTCTCTCTCCCCCTCCCTCCCCCTGCCTCCCTCAATCTTCATAAAGAAAGAAGGAACTGGGTTATTACTCATACACAACAAATGATTTCATCAAAAAGAAGACTTTGCAAGTTTTCTTCTCTAGTAAAAATGCAGAGTCCAACTGTCCAGATAACTGATTTCTTTTTTTAGCAGAGTACAAAATATGCAAGTGGCAGTAGACCTAAAAAATAGAAGATTGGAGACAAATTCCATATTTCTTCTGAAAATAGTTTTATATCACTAACCATTTCTTACATCAACTTGGTCCAGAAATACTGAATATTATAAACAAAATAGTTGTTATGACTTTCAAGTGGTAGCGAGCTCTGTTAAAACCTATATGTGATTGTAGAGTTTAGGAACACTAAATGTGACACCTTAGACATGAGGTGTGTTGAGTGATGTGGCTCAGCTCAGTCCCCCAGCACCTGTATTTTTAGGGTGAGAAGAAGTTTGTCCTCTTCCTGTGTGACTGGTACCTTGTGGTGTGGGAAGAGTCCGTGGTGTGGGAACTCTGCCTACCATATGCTGTCACTTGGTCTCTTCAGCTTCCCTTTAACAACCAAAAAATAAGTCATTAAAAGCTCTGCTGTAATAATGTCCACTGAGACTTTACCCCTTTTCCTGATGTAGGAACAGCAGACACCTGATAGTGCAAAGTACGTTCACACTCGTCATCACAGAATCCCCAAGGCAGGACAGCTCGTCTCCTGTCCAGACGTTGTGCTGACCCAGACCGAGTCCAGCCTTGAACAGGAGTCTGCACGTGTATCTGGGAGGCTTCCCTCAAAACCCTGGGACAGCCTCATCTCCCCTGACTCAGTCCTCTTTTGTGTATGAATCCCAAGAGGTGGTGGAGAATTCAGCACTGGGTTTGGACAGCTCCACACTGTCTAGAGCAAACTGAGATGTGTCTCTTTTTTAACGGTTCTGTGTGTGTGTGTGTGTGTGTGTGCACACGCGCGTGCGCCTGTGTGTAACGTTATGTTTCTAGAGTTATTCTTTTACAGTTGTTCCAATTTTCCCCCTTTGCCCTCCTCCACCCATCCCACCACCCTCTCCCCTGGGAATATACCCTAAGAATCCCAAATCACCAATTCAAAATACATGATGCACCCCTATATTCATAGCGGCACGATTTGCAATAGCCAAGTGCTGGAAACAGCCCAAGTGATAATAAATGAGTAGACAGAGGAAACTGTGGACCATTTACACAGTGGACTACTACACAGCATATAGAAAAAAAAGAAGCTCCTTCCTTTCACAACAGCATGCATGGAACTGGAGAAATTATGCTAAGTGAAATCAACCACGCGGCGAGAGACAAACACCACATGGTCTCACCTATAAGAGGAAGCTAATGAACAAAATAAACTAATGAAGAAAACAGAACCACAGGCATGGAACCGTGGGACAGGCTGACAGTGACCAGAGCGGCAAGGGCAGAGGGATGGTCTTGGAAAACATGAGAAGGGACTCGTCAAAGAACATGTATGTATGGCCCACAGACACGGACAACAGGGCATGAATGGACTGCGGGAGCAGGGGGGTCGTGGGATGAGCAGAGGGAGAAAACTGGCTCAACTGGGACAAAAGAACCTTTAACAACAGATTTTTAAAAGTTTCCCACAAGGGAAAAAGAATATTTCCCACATTTTTTGTTAATGAAAACGTAACTGACTGACTCTTCAGTCTGCAGTCCATCGAGCACCAACTTTGTGCGCAGTGTGAGGCAGGTGTGAAGCTCACTTTGTTCCATAGACCCCGCCTACCTGGCACAGCCCCCGTGACAGAAACAGCAGGAGCTGCCCACTGCCCTGTGAGGGTGTCACGTGACCCTGCACTGTGGTCTGAGTCTGAGCTTTCCTTCTGCTCCATGGGACGAGGTGTCTCTGCTTTTCAGGTTCTCACACCTCCAACGTCTCCGCCTACATCTGAATGGCTGGTTTCCTTCCCCCCCCCCACCCCCCGTACCTCAGGCAGGGTGCATTCTGAGCCCACTTGTGGGGGTGGGGGTGGTGTCACGGGGCTATGAATGAGGGAGGTGAGAGCAACAGAGGACGCAGGCTGCTCCGGGGCCCTTCAGCCTTTCAGGATGCGGTACTGCAACAGCCGACTTTGCAAGTGTGGGGGATGTTTTCCCGCCCCTAACAGAACCCTCCTGATTGTCAGTGTTTTCTGAATCCTCAAGAGTCTCCACAGTTTAAATAAGAGAATGACACCAGCATCGAAGGTGCTCTGAAGCGGGAGAAATGACTCAAGTGATTCACCCCAAGGAGAGGGAGAGAGAAAGAGCCCCCTCCCCACAGAGACTCAGGGTCAGGTGGAAACGGTGTGAGACGCAGCCCCTGCGCTCCAGGGCCAGGAGCGGGTGCCGAGCTCCCCTGCAGGAAAAGAGCGCTTGCACAGACCCGGGGCTCCTCCCTCCGCCTCCTCTTGGCTCACGGTCATGGTCACGAGGGCTCCTTGGGGTCTCCAGTCAACAAGGCAGGAAGGGAAGGTCGCCCTTCTCATCCCCAAGGCAGTGGCCACATCCACCACCTGCCTCGGTTCTGACCCCACACCCTCACCCTCTTCTATTCACCATCTGCATCAGTTTTTCTAACTCTCTTTCAAAACCTGTCCATTTCTGCCCAAAATCTTCCCGCGCTCTTCACTGTGTTTAGGGTGAATTTAGACTTTCTTCTGAAGCGACGGTTGTTCGTGATCATCTGTATGGGACCCTCCAATCACAGCTTCCCCTTCCCCTTCCCGCAACCAGACTGGTGTAGCTACCCTGTGAACACACAGTCATACACACACACAATCACACTCACTACACACACTTACACACACCCATGCGCACTCACACATGCGCAAACATACCCACACATATACTCATGAAACACTCACACACACATACACTCGGTCACACAGATACAGAAACACACACACACACTTACACACAGAGGCAGACGCACTCACACCGTCTCCTAGGACCGCACCTGTTCTCCTCCGTGTGGGCTTTCTGAGAGTTTATAGAACTAGCAAAGACCTTCCCAAACTCCCAACTAAAATCACAGGACCAGAAGTAACACTGAGATTTCTTCCCCTCATTTCTCTTCTCTACATGTGTTGTAACAGCTAAAATATGTGTGTGGATTCTGTGATAAATCCATGCAAGCATTGCATCTAATATTGTTGGACACACAGGATTGGAGTTCAATTACTGTTGACATTATGTGCTATTTCACATATTGTATTGCTTGGGTTCCTTTGTAATACACGGCCCATGTGAGATTCATAATGCAGTCTGACCGTAACAGCTCATTCCTGCATATGCCTCTGCCTCAGGACTTAATCTAACGTCCTTGCGTGGGGGAGAGCACCCCCCATGACCAGCCACCACCTCACCCTCCCTCACTGTCATCAGACAGTCTCTGTGTCTAGAGTTCCCTGTAATATTCTTTCCTTTCAAGAACATTCTCACTCCCTCCTCCTAGGTTCCCACCTCAATAAACAGCCCTTCCCTCAGCCCTGGCCCAGAGGCTCACTTGCTTGGAGTGGTGTTCCATTCACCAATAGCTTGTGAATTCAATCCCCAGTCCGGGCACATGAGAAGCAACTAATCAATATTTCCTTCTCTCTCATCAACGTCTGTCTGTCTGTCTCCCCCGTCCTTTCTCTACAAAATCAATAGATATATCCTTGGATGAGGATGAAAAAAAAAAAAAAGCCATTCCCTCAACCACAGCCGAGTCATGGCCCCGGGTGCTCTCCTATTTTTTCCCATTACCCCTTTGTAAGTAAAGTCACTTCCACTTTAACCTTAGAATGCTCTTTTTCTGATAAGAAGAGTTCTCAAAATGCAGAAAATCAGTCTCCTGGGTCACAGATGTGCTTCCGATTCTAGCACAAATATTCTGCAGGTCGCAGATGATCAGTAAATATTTGTTTTTGGATGAGGCAATGTCCAAAGAAAATACTGTTTATGGGAGGTTGAGAAAATGCATAGTCAATTTTTTAGAGAGTCAGGCACTTGAGGGTCAAAGGAGGACCAGACCCTGGTTCCCGCCCTCCCTGAGCAGGAGCACATTCCAGGCAGAGGGCCTTGGGGGTGAGAAGACACCCCAGGTCTGGGCTGAGCGTCTCCAGAGGATGAGGAGTCCTCCTGAGCCCCCCTCATGGAAAAACCCAGAGCCCAGGGCGGGGCCGCCCCCTCGCTGTGGGTCCGCGGAGATGGGAAGCCAGGAGGGCGGCGGGAGCCCCTGACTCACCACCTCCTGCGCGTCTCTGTCCTTCAGGCCAGGGTCTCATCCACCTGCAGTGTGGGGCCACTCAGAGCAGACGGCACGATGTCCATCCTCCCTGCTCTTCTCTGCCTTGGTCAGTTGTGGGGACATGGGGACGGGGCAGCAGGAGATGGGGCAGCGGCGCGTGCTTGTTGCATGGGGAACACCGGTCTCAGGAGCTCAAGGGGTGGAGGCTCTAAGGAAAGGGAATCGGCTCTGACATCTGGGTGCAAACCTGACAGGGACTCTCTTCCAGGGCTGAGTCTGGGCCAGGAAACCCTCGAGCAGAATGGTGAGTCCTCCCCAGACCCCCTGTCCCACCTCCTACTTCATCCTGGGGCTCAGGAGGGGGCACAGAGGTCCTGGGATGAGGGGATAAAAGAGGGGGGACGAGGGCTGAGCTGGGGGATGCGGGAGGGGAGGGGCTTTCTAATGCCGCCTCTGATCCCTTCCAGGGACCCTCCCCAGACCCACCATCTGGGCTGAGCCAGGCCCTGTGGTCCCCTCGGGGAGCTCTGTGACCATCGGGTGTCAGGGGACCCTGCAGGCCCAGGAGTACTGTCTGTATGAAAGTGAAATTGATACACCTGTGGGCAGAGAGCAACCACGGGAGCCCCGGGACCAGGCCAAGTTCTCCATGAAAGACATCTATGCAGGGAGATTTTACTGTAAATACCGCAGCCCCACGGGCTGGTCAGAGCCCAGTGACCCCCTGGAGCTGGTGGTGACAGGTGAGAGGACACCCAGGGGTCCCCGCCCAAGGCTCTGCCCTCAGGGAGGGGGATGCCCTCAGGGCGTCTCCCCCTCACAGCCCAGCCCTGGGGGACAGGAGGGAGGTTGAGCCCCATTTACCACGCTGCCTCCTTCTCTCATAGGGGTCTATGGCAAACCCAGGCTCTCGGCCCTGCCCAGCCCTGTCGTGACCTCAGGAGGGAACGTGACCCTCCAGTGTGGCTCAGGGCAGCAATTTGGCAGGTTCATTCTGATTAAGGAAGGGGAACGCACGCCCCCCTGGACCCTGGACTCACAGCGACTCCCCAGTGGGCAGTCCCAGGCCCTGTTCCCTGTGGGCCCCGTGACGTCCGTCCACAGGTGGAGGTTCAGATGCTACGGCTGTTACAGGAACACTCCCCAGGTGTGGTCTCAGCCCAGTGACCCCCTGGAGCTCGTGGTCTCAGGTGAGGAGCCCCTGACCTCGTCCTTTCTGAGCACAGTCCACTCAGGAGACATCTGAAGAGGGATAAGAGTGAGGGTCTCCGAGCACAGATCTGCCCCCAGAGACCCTCAGTCCTGCCCATCCCTCCTCTTCACCTGGGGCAGGAAGGCAGGAAGTACGCAGGGCAAGTCTTCTGAAGGTACCAAATACAAGATGTAGGATTAGGGTCCGAGAGATTTGGGGACTTCAGGTTTAGCCCCAGACTCTCATGCCCCTTTGTACCCTTATTTCCAAAACACTGTGGAGGGCCCATCCCCACAGCCGGTGAGTCCCTGAGAGCCCTGCTCAGAGCGAGCATGGGGCAGCCCAGGGAAGTTCTGAGGGTCCGTCAGGGGGCTCATGTCCCCCAGACACTCAGGGATGGGCGTGTGTCCCAGGGGCGGGGGGTCAGGCAGAGCTGCCTGCGAACCACAGGGCCCCCAGGGCTCTGAGGCAGGCAGGTGATGGGGGGGTGGTCATGGCAGAGGGACATGTTGGAACCCAGGCTGGGGGGGGGAGCAGCGGGGCTCAAGTCGGGAGAAGGCAGCCCCAAACCCTCACCCCCATCCGGAATTTCCAGAAAGCTCTGAGGATCGACCGCTCCCCACCACAGAGTCAGGCCCGCAGAGCGGTGAGTGAGGGTCTCCGTGGGGAGGTGGTGGGTGTGTCCACGGGGGACAGGAGCTGAGTCCTGTGAAAATTGAGGCTCCTCTGGGGGCTCTGACTTGGACACGCCCTCCCCCTCTCTCTGCCTCAGTGTCTCCAAGTGTAAAAGGAGAGAATCCTGGCCCAGACCTTTGGTTTCCTTTCCGTTCTGACTCTGACCTCCTGGGAGGGGTCCTCACAGGGAAGCCCCTCAGGATGTGATGTTATGGGGACTGTCCCTTCTATAGCAGTGACAGTGACACTGTACAGGGAGGGAGAAGGAAGACATGGGTTTGGGGCCTCCAGGTCTATCCCTCAGCTCAGGTGCTCAGCTGAGAGGAGGGAACCAGGGCTGGAGTCAGACCTGGGTCAGGTCCCGGCTCTGCGGCTCCCGCTGTGGGGCCCACGGTCCCTTCTCTTCTCTGAGTGTTGGGTTCATGTCTGTCTTCCCTGGTCCCCTCCTGCTCACAGGCCTGCGGTGACAGTAGGTGACATGAGGGGCCTCATAAGCCAAGGAAGGCAGAGGCCCAGCCCAGCCCAAACTTCTCAAGGGGCAATAAGGGCTCACCCCACAGCCTTGCCCCTCCCGTGTCCCTGCTGGGCTGGGGGGCAGGGAATAGGGCAGGACCCTCCACTCCAGATGGGACAGGACAGGCCCCTGCAGAGGAGGAGCCCAGAGCTCGGAGCTGGTGTCCCCAGGGGGCAGCATGGGGGCAGCACAGGGAACCCACGTCCGGGGTCCGGTCCCTGCCCTGCCCCGGCCAGGCTGGGGGCCCTGGGGCACGCGGCTCACCTCTCTGAGCCCCCGGGGACTGGGCGGTGGGTCAGCGATCCCTGGTGCAGGGGGGCTGTGAGGTTAGAGGAGACGAACCACAGACCCTAGTATGTGCCTCGCACACAGTAGGGGCTCATGAAAGGGCATCTTGGCTCATTCATGACGTCACTCCAGCCCAGGGTCTGCAGTGGTACTGGAAGGTGCTGATCGGGGTCTCGGCGGCCCTCACGCTGCTGCTCGCCCTCCTCCTCTTCCTCTTCCTCCGACACCGGAGTCAGAAAAAAGGCAGGACGTCGGGTGAGTAGGGGACGGGGTGACCTGGGCCACAGGAGAGAGGGGGTCAGAGCATCTGCTGCCAGAAAACCAAATAGATGGGGAAGGTCAGCTGAGCAACAGATTTCTCCAGAATCTCAAATCAAAAAATCTAGAAAGAATACACGTAATGCCAACATGTAAGTTAATTTTTCATCATTTTCAATCTCCTGAAATATGAAACATATGGACATACATGTGCTAAGGTTTCCTTCTTTCCCCTGGAGTCACAAGTAGAGGGGTGCCTACCCTTCTAGGCCTGAGACTGTCATTTTTGACCAGCCCAGAGAGGGGCTGAAATCCATCCCGCCCAGCTGCGGACGCCCAGGAAGAGCCCCTCTGTGAGAGGAAGGGACGGCTGCCCTGGGGGAGGGGCACAGGGGTTCCAGGAGGCCACGGGGGAGGGGACAGCCTGGGAGGGTGTGGGGTCAGGGGGGAGGGGGACGGAAATCCCCACAGCCTGACCTGGCCCCTCACCTCACCCTGGGTGAGTGGCCCATCTGGGGGCAGCGGGTCTGCAGCCCTGGGATCCCGGGGACCCTGCCAGGAGACACACCCTGTTCTGCCTCCGCAGATGCTGCCGTGAAGGACCCACAGGCTGGGGAGGGCGTGGAGCTGGACCCTCGGGTGAGACCCCTGCCCCTGTCCAGGCCTCCAAGCTCCTTCCTGTTGCCCAGTTCACTCCAAGGGTCCCTCCCCTGTCCTCCCCTCCCCTGGTTCTCAGCAGCGTCCACACTGACCTCTCCTTCTGGGCACCAGGCCGTCCTGCTGTGACTCACTCCTCCCTTTCCTGGGACCTCATGGCCCCTCCTGGGGGGTCCCCTGGGCTGGCCCCTCGTCCCCTGTGTGACCTTGGGCAGCCCCAGGTCTCAGGAGGAGGCGCGAATGAGTGACTCACCCCAGGCCCCAGGGCCCCTTCACTCAGTCACGCAGCCGCCGTGACGGGAGCTCCCTGGGCACCGGCTCCATGTAGGGGCCGCGGTGCCGCCCCGAGCAGCCTGTCCCCACACTCGTCCAGCCCACCTGTGGGCGAGGGAGACACCTGCACACAGGTGATGGCGTCAGGAGGGCCAGCTGCTGTGAAGGAGAATAAAGCAAGAGCAGGGGGTGGAGTGCGTGGTGAGGGGGGAGAGCAGAGGACACAGCAGGTGCAAAGGTCCTGAGGCAGGACATGCGCTTCAGCCAGAGGGGCCGAGTGGGTCGAGCCAAATGAGCAGAGACAGTGGGTTAGGTTACGAGTCAGAACCACAGATGCACCAGATGCCCCAAGGCTCAGGAAGCCCCTGCAGATTCCGTCAGGACAGTGACCTCATCTGACCCGAAGTTTCAACCCTCACTCTGACCCCATGTGGATGCTTGATGGGAGGATTCAACAGTGGGATCGAGGACATGCCGTCTCTGTCTCACTGTCTCTCTGCAGCAGAACAGGCCCCGTGACGACCCCCAGGGTGTGACATGTGCCCAGGTGAACCGCTCAAGATCAAGGCTCAGGCAGGGAATGGCCCCCTCTCCTTCCCTCCTGTCACGGGAATTGCTGGACAGGAAGGGCAGACAAGCAGAAGGGGACAGACAGATGGACAGACAGAGGGGTCCCACCCTCTCCAAGCCCCAGGCGTCCCCCGCCCCAGCCACGTCTCACCCTCTCACTGTCCCCTGCTCCAGGCTGCTGCACCTGCGGCCCCCCAGGAGGTGACCTACGCCCAGCTGGACCGCCTGAGCCTCAGACGGGAGAGGAGTGCCCCCCCTTCCTCCCCGTCAGAGCAGCCCCCGGCTGAGCCCAGCGTGTACGCTGCTGTTGTCGTCCACATGCCCAGGAAGGGCCCCGACCCCACACTCCAGGGCGGGGGCCTGCAGGGACCTCAGAAGGCACAGGAGCTGCCCCAAAAGACACCCAGCTAGTGACCCCGGCCAGCCTGGAGACCTGGCCTGGACCCCCAGCCAACCCTGGGGCCTCTGGGCATCCCCTATTTTTATAGTCAAAGATAACTAGTATTCTTACGTGTTGGCAATAGAACAAACAGAAGTCCCTCTAATCAATATGTGCACGAAATCAGAGGTGTAAATTTTAATTAATACTATATATATAAAACCCATCCAACCTATGAAATGAGAAAATTAAAATCCCTGAGTGAATATATTAGAAAATAAAAACGCTTTCAAATTCGATGTCCTATGCTATTATACCAAACAGGTAAAAAACGTGTTGCATTGAATCGTCGGAACCACAGGTGACTGGATAGAAAGATGTGGCAGGTAGGCACAACGGAATGTAAATCTGTCATTTAAAAAAAATAATAATAACAAGAGGACCTTTCCGTTCGGGAGCACCCGGATGGAGCTAGAGGGTATCATGCCGAGTGAAATAAGCCAGTCAGGGAAGACAAATACCGTATCGACTCACTCATATGGGGAGTCTAATCAACAAAATAAACTGATGCACAGAATAGAACCAGAGGCATGGACACAGGAACAGACTGACAGCTGTCAGAGGGGGGGGGGAGGGGGGACTGAGTGAAAGAAGGGGAAGGGACCAGCCAAGGGACTTACATGCATGACCCGGAGACAACAGTGGGGGGCGTGGTGGGAGGCAGGATGGAGGGGGGCAGAGGGGGAGAATAAGCACATCTACGACAGTGTCAACAATGAAATTTTTTGAAAAAGAAACATGTGACAAACTTAACATGAGAAGCCGTTTTGATTTTAAGAAGATCTGCGCCTTCGGGGAAAGTGGCTCTGATGGGTGGCCGCGTCGGCGGAGGGAACCAGCGCGGACTCTGTGCGCCCGGGAGGCTTGGATGGCACCAGTCCGGGGAAGGGGCGCTCCGATTGTTCCAACTCCAGCCTAGGAAGTTGGAGGGGTCTGCTCGCTACGCCCAGCAGGGACATTTAGGGACCCTCTATTCTGTGGACAGGCCTTGGGCAGACATCCGGTCAGTGACTGAACTGGGTGGCTCGTAAGAGCGTTGGTCCCGCCTACCTGCCGCGCGCTGGAGGGACCCCTCCCCTAACCGCTGAGCTGCGCAATCCGCGCGCCCTGCTGGGTTCCTCCGCTCCGGACAGCCGCGCGGCGCTGGGATTCTCGGCGCACCCTGCCGGGGTTCACCATGGCGGGGAGCTGGGCTTTTGGCCGGTGGGGGGCCCAGGAAGAGCCGGGAATGTGGGGCCCGCCCTGCCGTGACCAGCCCTGCCGAGGCCAGAGCGGTGAGCAGGGCCGATTTTCGGCCGCCTGCTGCTTGGTTTGGCAGTGTGGGGAAGCCGGGAGCCTCGCAGAGCTGGGTTTTGGGAACTGTGCCTCCCGGGAAGGCTTCTGCCCAGGAGTCAGAGGGCGAGTTCTGGGCTCCGCGGCTGAGTTGCGGGGAGGCAGATCCCAGATCCCCTGTGAGTTCAGCCGGCGCCGCCCCCGAAGGAGGGGAAGAGCCCACCCTCCTTCCCACAGGTGCGAGCAGCACCTCCGACGGGAGACCGCTGGAATCAGCCTTCCCGAGGCCCCGGCACGCCTGCTGAGTGCAGATTACTGGGGGAAGAGACCGCGGCTCCGCGCGGGGCCCTCCGAGTGCGGGACCTGCCGCAGACCCAACCTCTGGGCTCCGGAGACCCCGCGCACCGGGCTCGGCGCGGCTCCGCCCTGCCCAGTTCAGAGGAAACTCCGGGGTGTGTGGCCCAGGCTCGCGGGCGGGCGAACACAGCCACCTTCCTCCCGAACGTCTGAACGGCCCCCCCTCCTCACGGAGATCCAGTGCCCGCCGCGCTCCAGGTTCCACCAGAGCCTGTCAGAGACCGACCTTCCCAGAGAGGAAGCCCGGCGGTCGGCTGGCAGGCGGACGCGGGCGCCGGCGGAGCCCCGGTCCCCGGGCGCCCTGGACCCTTAGGGACCCTTCCTGGGGGCTGTGCTAATAAAAGCCAGCTCCGGAGCGCAGCTTGGTCCTTCCCATGCGAATCCAAGCCCAACAGACTGTGGGTTGCTTGTAGCTTCAGACAGGCTGCCGAGGGCCAGGCGTGGGCAGCGGCTGGCGTGGGCTGGCACCGGAGACCCTCCCTGGAGGTCGGAGCCCGCCTGCCCCGTGGCCAGCTCGGACAGCGTCGCGGCCCCGTAGGCAGGCTTCCCGGACGGCGAATCCTGCCGTCCGGGAGGACACAGCCCGCTCACAGCAGGCTCTCCGCCCCACGGGACGGGTGCCACCTTGTCTTTCTATTCTTTTCTTTATTTTTTCTTCTCTCTTTCATTTTGCTTCTCTTCTCTTTTGTCTTTTGCTTTTCATATATATATATATATATATATATATATATATGTATACATATGTATATATATATATCTTTCCATTTCTTATTTGATTTTTTCTTTTCTTATTTTCCGGGAGGGTCTTTTGTTTGTCTGTTTTGTTTTGTTTTTACCCGTTCTTTCTTTTCTTTTTCCTTCTCTCCTTTCATATGCTTCTATTTTGGTTTCATCTCTTATTGTTTATTTCCACTGACGTTTTCTTCTTTTTTTTTTTCTTGTCTTTTTTTTCTTTCCTTTTTTTTTTTTTTTTTTTTTTTTTTTTGGTGCTATTTTTGTTGCTGTTAAGTTTTTTGGCTTGTTTAGGTCTGGTTTCCCTTTGGGTTTGTTTCGTCTCGTGGTGTTCTGTCAGCAGCTTGCAGTACGTGGCCAGAGTTGAGCGTACCAGTAAGCCAGGCTGCAGGTCAATCCCACCTACAGACGGGCCAAAAGCAAACCAGACCCAGTTGCAACAGGAGGGCCCACAGGACCCACACAAGGGACATACCCAGAGCACCCAGCTGGGTCCCCCCAAACACCTGCTGCAGAAGGCCTCCCCCTCGAAGACGGGGAGTCACAATAGTTCCATCTCACACACAGGAACAAACACAACAAGACATATTAAACGGGGAGACAAAGAGACTGATCTCCAAAGGAAAGGACAAGAGGAATCTGCAGAGGGGAAAAAAAAGCTAAATGAAATGGAGGCAAGCAATTCCTCAGATACAGAGTTCAAAGTAATGGTTACAAGGGTGCTCGAGGAACTTAGCGATAAATGCAAGGAATTTAGTGGGAACTACAACAACACAAAAAAGGATATAGAAATCAAGAGCCAGCCGGAAACAAAGAACCCTGACCCATGTGGCTCAGTTGGTTGAAGCATCGTCCCACAGACTGAAAGATCACAGGTTCGATTCCTGGGGTCTGCAAAAGAATAGACAAATAGATAAATAAAACAGAATAGAAAGCCCACCAGCAAACCCACACAAATATAGTCAGCTGGTCTTTGAGAAAGAAGCAGAGACGATATAATGGAGCAAAGATAGTGTCTTCAACAAACGGTTCCAGAACAGCTGGATATCCACCTGCAAATATCATCATCATCATCATCATCATCATCATCATCTAGACATAGACCTTACACCCTTCACAAAAAGGGACTCAAAATAGATCAGAGACCTAAACTTGAAATGCAAACTACAAGGCTCCTCCAAGACAGAACTTTCTTACCATTCCAGGGTATCTATTTCCCCACTTCTGACCCAGAAACCCATTCACTGGTAACCTTACCTTTGTGCTATGGATGAAGTTTAGGTTTAAAAAGGTGAGAAATTTGGCAGAGGGAGGGAGGAGTGAATGTGGGAGGTGGGAGTAGGTAGGGCGGGGGGGAGTAAGGGGGAGAAAATGGGGACAACTGTAGTTGAACCAAAAACAAAAATTAAAAAAAAATAAAAAGATGAGAAATTGGCCCTGGCCAGGTGGCTCAGTTGGAGCATTGCCCCATACGCAAAAAAAAAAAAAAAAAAAAAAAAAAAGGTTTGCAGGTTCAATCCCCAGTCAGGGTTGGGTAGCCCTGTTGGTTAGGAAGTCGTACCAACACACCAAGTTTGCTGGTTCAACCCCCAGTCAGGGCACACACAGGAACCAACCAATGAATGCATCAATAAGTGGGACAACCAATGATGTTTCTCTCTCTCTCTCTCTTCTCTCTCTCTCTCTCTCTCCCCCTTCCTCTCTCCTTCTCTAAAAATCGATAATAAAATTTTAAGATGAGACTTAAGATATTTTATGGGGGAGGAGAAAGAAAAAATGTCCTCTGGGTCTAGAGACATCTGTCTCATCTACAGGTGAGCTTGCCCCTTCATCTCCCTCAAAGCAGCTACTCCCGCCTCCTGCCCCCATGCATTGGCATCTAACTGTTTGTGCAGGCTGAGTGTGACTGAAAACATAGCGCATATGTAACCAGCTTTCTCACATACGTGGCCTGTGGTCAACGTGGAAACTGGTGGGTGTCCCTGGGTTCTCATTCACTGCTTCTTGTTTACTCATCAAGGCTAAGGTCACCAGATCATGAAAAACAGAAAGCTGACTTGACACACCCAACTCTGTTCTTAGTGAGTCTTATATTGGAGGCCCCAGAATGGACGGACAAGGGCAGTAGCCCTCCAACAGGTGGCCCTTGACCCAGGAAGGGCAGAGCTTCTGACTTCGGGTCAGAACCTGCCTAGGAGTTTGAAGGTTGTCCAAGCTATCATTCCGATCAAGAGCGGACATCTCACTTTAGCCTTTCTTTTCCAGGATAGTTTCTAAGCAAGAAGTTCTACTCACATGAGAATGACACCTTCCCTCAAAATGTTACAAGAACAGCCCTAACCGATACGGTGCAGGGGCTGGATCTGGAGATTAATTTGCTAATGGAATAAGCCAGGTAGAGAAAGGCAAATACCACATGGTTTCCCTTATATTTGGACTCTAATGAATGAAATAAACTGACAAACAAAATAGTAACAAAGGCATGGACACGGAACAGACTTGATAGCTGTCAGAGGGGAGGGGTTTGGGAGACTGGATGTAAAGGAGGCAAAGGGATGAAGCAAAAATATATATATAAACACATGGACACAAACAAAAGTGTGGTGATAACCAGAGGGAAAGAGGGTGAGAGGGTAGGTGGAGGTGAGCACAGGCGGGGGGCGGTAAATGGGGACACACAGAGACTTTGCTTGGGGTGATGGGCGCACAAGGGTGTGCAGGCGATGTTTTACTGAGTCGCACACTTGAAACCTGTACGCCAATGAGTTCAACCAAAAAACACTGCTAATAAAAAACACACTCGAGTCAAAAAGAAAGAAAATAAAATATATAACATATTTCATATTAAATAATTTTAATATAAGTGTAGTATTTTAATACTAATTTTAACTTTATTATATGTTAAGAGTTTATTGCTCCTGTATAACAGACGAAAGCAATGCATTTATGTAAGAAACTGCGCATTTTTTGGCTGGAAAGAATTGCCCGTTATGGAAACGCTGTAACAAACCTTTGAAGAAGATGGCGGTGTCATTGTATTCTGATTAAACCACTTGACTTCCCCAAGCACATACAGGCTGTACACAGGGAGCCAAGGTTTAACACGCTTTTTTTTCCAATGACTCTAAGGTTTTGGCTGGAGAACTGACTGCCCTGTGCCTTCCCTGGGCCTCATGCCCACATTTCGCATTTGAGACGTCGAGGTTCAGGTGAGGCAGACAATTGTCCGAGGCCCTGGTGAGGCCTCAGGCAGGATCAGATGTGTCCTGAGCTCCCTGCCCGTCCTCACGCCCCACGGTCAGAGCCGGAGGAAGAGCTGCAAACCTGCTTGTAACACTGTCACTACGGGAAACTCACGGTGATGCGCGCTGGGCTTCACACACCACATCCTGTGCTGCATGGGCTCCCAGGCTCGGCCTCCCGCCCGCTGCCCCACATTCACAGGCAGACCCGGCCATGCTTGCCACGCTGGCTGCCCTGCTCAGCCTCGGTGAGGTCCCACGTGGAAGGGGGCTGGGGTCCAGGGCGCCTGGCGCGGCACCACGTCTCGCTCATTATTCCTCTCTTCCAGGGCTGAGTCTGAGCCAGAGGATCAGCGCCCAGAAGCGTGAGTCCTCCCTCCAAAGCCCCCTGAGTCCCTCTTCTGGGTTCAGACTGGGCTACTGTCCCCATTCCCAAATGGAGACATCGACCCAAAATGAGTTTCAGGTGGGGCAGACACTTGCCTCCACCCGAGAACAAGTAGGGGAAGCCGGGACCGTGGCTGGCGAGGGGGGCTTGAGGCCATAGGCTGGGTGGAAATGAGGGTGCGGAGGGGCTCCGCCTGGAACCCCAGCCTCCGGTTCCCTTCCAGAGACCCTCTCGAAACCCCTCATCTGGGCCAAGCCTGGCACCATAATTCCAAAAGGAATGGCGGCGATCATCTGGTGCGAGGGGGCTCACATGGCCGTTGAGTACCAACTGCACTTCGGGGGGAGTCTATCCACCTGGGAGAGGCCGAACCCCCCTTGGATGACAAACAAAGTCAAGTTCTCCATCCGGCCCATGACCGCACACACTGCAGGGCAATACAGCTGCTCCTACAGAAAGGGGGAGCTCTGGTCAGAGCCCAGTGACCCTCTGGACCTGGTGGTAACAGGTACCTGTCCCTTCCGCTAGCCTTTCGTCTCCTCCGAACCTCATTCAGGTGCTGTTAGCCTTGGCGGAAGGGGGTGTGGTCACTTCCTACAGGGGTTATCTCTTGAGGGTTCCCTCTATGTCCCAGGACCCGATTGGTCTTAGGTCAGGTTCTTCCCGTAGGAGACTCTGAGGCAGGTGTTTGTGTGCAGGGAGGGATCACTGGGGAGTGTCCTCGAAAGCAGCACCGGTGATGGACGGGAGGCCCAGGCTGGGCGGCCGAGGGTGTACTGCGACACTCAGCCTGAACCCAGCCGGGCAAATGTGACACCAGACCAGGGGCGGCCCGTCACAGTGGTCTCAGAATGCGGCCGCGGGCCCCCCAGCATCAACCCGTGATTGCATGAGACCCATTCCTCAGAAGTTCCAGGCAGAGACCCTCGCTCTTGGAGCCTTCGTAGTCTTTGTTTTTTTTAATCCTCAGCTGAGGATATGTTCATCAATTGGAGAGAGAGAGAGGAAGGAAGGGAGAGAGAGAGAGAAACATGAATGTGAGAGAAAACATCGATCAGTGGTCTCCTCTATGGGCTCTGGACCGGGGATGGAACCCACAGCTTAGGTAGGGGCCCGGACTGAGGATCAAACCCGCAAACTGCTGGTTTTTAGGGTGACGCTCCGACCCGCTGGGCCAGGGCAGCACTTGTGTTCTTGTAGGAGAAGATAGGCTATCGATCAAAGCAAGATACGTAAATCACTTAGGCAGCACCTAAGGAAACAGCGGCACATTAAAAAGACAATGTAGAACAGGGTAACCGTGACTGGGAGGGAGGGTAACCTGGGGGTCCCTTCCCCGAGGCTTGTGTACAAACAGGCGAATGTGGAGTTGCCTGGAGTGCTTGTCAGACACAGCCGGCTCCAGCACACACACATTCGTGGGGGCGCCGCTCACAGTCCTAAAAGGGAGGGACAACCCAAGTGTCTATTTACAAATGAAGGGATCAACAGAACGAGACATATCTGCACAACGAAATATAATTCAGACTTTAAAAGGAAGGAAATTCTGCCCTGGCCAGCGTGGCTAAGTTGGTTGGAGTGTCTTCCAGTAAATCAAAGGTTGTGGGTTCGAGTCCCAGTCGGGGCACATGTCTGGGTTTCTAGTCTCACCCCCAGTCAGAGCACAAATGGAAAGCAACCAATTGATGTTCCTCTCTTGCAGAGATGTTGTGGGTTTTGTCTCCCCCTCACTCTCCAAAATCAATAAATGTATTTTTTAAAAGAAAGGAAATTCTGACACATCCTACCTACCATGTGGGTGAACCTCATGTTGAAATGATCCAGCTGCAAAAGGACAAATACTGTGTGCTGCCACTTACCGGATGTACCTAGAGTCATCAAACTCGTAGGGACAGAGAGCAGAATGGTGTCTGCTGGGGTGGAGGGAGGGAAGAGGAAGTTATGGTTTAACGGGGACAGAGCTTCAGTTCTGCAAGACAAAAACAGTTCTGTGGGTGGGTGGTGCTGATGGTGGCACTTAATACCACTGAGCTGGACACCTAAAAGTGCTTAAGGTGGTACATTTTACACTACCTGTATTTTACAACCATTAAAAAATAATGATGATTTTTTTTACAACATCGGTGGCTGCCCGACCCTTGAGCCTCTGAGGCAGTGGGTTTAGGACAGAGCCTGAGAGTTTTCATTTATTTTTCTTTTTTTATCCTCACCTGAGGATGTGCTTATTGATTTTAGAGAGAAAAGTGGGAGTCAGGGAGGGGAGAGAAAGAGAGAGAGAGAGAGAAACCTCAGTCAGTTGCCTCTTTCAGATACCTGGACTGGGAACCAAATCCACACCCTAGGCATGTGTCCTGACCAGAAATCAAACCTGCAACCTTTCTGTTTATGGGACGACGCTCTAACCAACTGAGCAAACTGGGCAGGGCTGAGGATTTGCACTTCTAACAGGCTTTCCGATGATGCCGATGTTGCTGGTCCCAAGGACAAAACTCTGGGGAACACTGATGTAAAGCAATTCCCAGAGAGAGAGACTCGTCCGCACACCCCCACGAGCTACGCGAGCGTCTCGGTCCCGAGGGCACACCCACGACCGACCGAGACAAATTTAGGACACGGAAGAGACTGAGATTCTGGGGAGTGACTCCCAGTCTTAAAGACAAGGGGGCGGGAGGCATAGCAGGCAGGTAAAATGCCCTTCACCTACAATGACCTTCTCTCACAGGAATGTATGACACACCCATCCTCTCGGTTCTTCCCGGGTCTCGGGTGACCCCAGGAGAGAACGTGACCTTCCATTGCCATCTAGACACTGCAACAAGCACGTTCTTCCTGCTCAAGGAGGGGGCGCCCGGCCCCCCACAGTGCGGATATGGGAAGCTTGAAGCAGCGTTTCCCATGGGGCCTGTGACTGCAGCCCACAGAGGGACGTACAGGTGCTTTGGTTCTTACAACAACCATCTGTGGTCTTTCCCCAGCGAGCCGGTGGTGCTCCTCGTCACAGGTGAGGAAACTCCCCAATTTCCTGCCCCCCGTCTTCTCGGGAACCCCAAGCGATGAGAGACAAGTGGAGCGGTGCAGGCACGGTGCCTGCCACCACGGCCTCTTTCACGGCCAGTTCATTGCGGCCCCGGTGGTTGCACGTGGGGAAGAACACAAGAGGGGCCGGGAGGGGAGGGCACAGAGAGTAGGTGGGGAGACCAGAGGAAACGCAAAACCCTGCCTCTTTTCCTTGTCCCCCTTGTCAGGAGACGGTGGGAACACCAGCCTTGCGCCCACAGGACAGCCCTCTTCCGGTGAGTAAGAGGGAGGGAATCAGAGCCCCCCAACACTGTGACCGGCAGGGGCATCGGTCACCCACGCAGGCGACCTGGGTCTCGGAGCACTCGTATTCCTGCAGGAGAAAACCCACATGAGTCGAAGTCAGGGGACACACCTCAGTCAGACAGCTCGCGAGCAAGACAGTCCTGTGGGGAAACATCAAAACAGAACGCAGGGCCTCGAGGCGAGGGCGAGGGCAGGTAGCGCCATTCTACAGAGAAGGAGGCTCCCGAGCGCCCGCTGTGGCTGCTGGTTCTCTGAAGGTTCTAGAGAGAGGGAATGGCCGGGCCTATGCCCTGCGGCAGGTGGATGGCTGATGCGGGGAGGCCCAGGGCACAGGACATCATGCCAGATGGGGACGAGGTGGAGCCCGGAAAGCTCGTTCAGGTCCTTGAAAAAATGGCAAGACTGAATTCTACTGTGTGTGAGGAAGAACTAAGTGCCTTGGTGAGGAAACTGAGGCTCGGAGAGAACATAGGCCTGGCCTGAAGACCCACACGTATTAATCCCAGAGCGGATTCTTGCTCGCAGTCATCTGCCTTTTGACTCTTCCACTCGGCGGGCCCAACCAAGCCCCTGGGCCCCGGAGGGTGGTGGGGGGACCTTGGAAAGCAACATAGAGTGTTGTGGGGCTGTGTCCAAGGGATGGAGAGGCTGGAGAGCAAGAGGCCAACACCACCTCTTTCCCTCACCCGCTTTCCTTACCACCTGCAGATACGTGGGCACCCCCCTTGTTAACCACAAAGACCGGACACCAGAAAGGTAAGCAGGCAGCCAGGAGCGTGGCCGGGACAAGGGATGGGATGAGGCCCCCGTAGGCTCCTGCCCATGATCCCCGTTCTTCTGGCCCCAGGAGCGCCCGCAGACACTCTCCTGCGGGTGGGTCTCGCCCTCCTGGCCCTGGTGGCCCTTGTGTGTCTCCTGGCTGAAGACTGGCTCCGCGGGGAGAAGACGGAGAGGGAGCCAGGGATGCGGGGCAAGGCTCCGGACACAGAGAGCCCTGGACAAATGACCGAGGATGCCCTGGCCATCGGTAAAGCTGACCTCTGACCTTGACCTTGGGCCGCGTCATCCGTGGGTTTGAGGGAAGCTGAGGGACTCCTGCATGGAGCTCGATGCACCGTCCTGCGGGGGGCAGGAGGGAGGAGGAAGATGCTCAAATTCTTCAGCGGGCAGATCCCACTGTCTCCCGAGGTTCTAAGTATTTTTTGTTGTTGTTGTTGTTGAATTTATTGGGGCAACGTTGATTACTACAATTACATAGGTTTCGGTTGTACAATTCTCTAATACATCACTTGTGTATTGTATTGTGTGTCCACCGCCTCAAGCCAAGTCTCCTTCCTTCACCGTTTAGCCCCCCTTTACCCTCTTGGACCTCCCCCCACCCCTTTCCCCCTGGGAATCGCCCTACTTTGGTCTGTGTTTAATCCCTTCACCTGTTTGGCTTAATCCCTTCCCCTTTTTCAGCAGCCCCACCCGCCTTCCCTCTGACAGCTGTCAGTCTCTTCTCTGTGTCTATGACTCTGTGGAATTCTCCCTGGCTGTAAAAAAAGAAGGTATTCTTACCCTTTACGACAGCAAGGATAGACCCAGAGAGTCTTCAGCTCAGTGAAATAAGCCAGTCAGAGAAAGACTTTTATGTGGAATCTCACATGTAGTTTTAACAAGTGCTCTTTTCTGTCACTTCCTCCTAGGTCCCCAGGGGGAGGAGGGAGGGAGGGGGAAGTGAGGAGGGTGTAGCAGGCCCATTGTTTGCTATAAAGATGTCTTGGAAACAGTCACACACCATTTCCATTTACTTCTCAATGGTCAGAACTTAATAGCTTGAGAGGCAAGCTATAAAAGGAGGTTGAGCAAGGTAGCCCTTGTTCCAGATGGCCCTGTGGCAAACTAAACACCCATAACGGGAGGAGTAACAATAGAGTTGCCCTAGACCCCTGCAATCTCTGTTACAAGCGCCTACTATGCGTCAGGCGCTGGTGAAAGTATCACATACATAGGCAAACATTACCTCTGCCTCAACAAGACAGTGCCAGGAGTAGAGCCCTTAAAGACGCAAATAAATAAAAGGGAATGAGGGAGCCTTGTGATGGGGCAATGCGGAACGCCCTGGGAGGCTGTTCCTGTGCAGCATTCCATTAAACAGGCCTAGAGGAGGATGTAGAGGTGCTGTCTGTTGGTGCAAAATGTGTCTGTTTGTGGTACCGGCTCACGCAAAGGCTCAGATGCAAGACAGAGGGTGAACATCTCTCAGTGTAACTAGAATTTTAGTTGTAAGAGAACGTGTGACACTGGGCGATGCTGAGCAAATGCAGAAGACAGATCAAGCTTGGTCATGGGCCCCAACATCATAAATGCACGTCTTATCCTTGAGGCAACGAGAACTCACTAAGCGGTTTGACCAGGGATGCAATGTGATGAAGGGTGAATGGTATACAGAGCCTTCAGGTGGGCAGGTGGCAGTGAGAAGAATATATGTGGGAGAGAAGGAAACAGAGAGAGAAGAGTTGAAGATGGACCCCCTGTTCCTGGGGTTGAGGACCAGGGACACACAGGTGCCACCAGGAACCCAGAGGGAGGCCCAGCTCTGGGTGAGAGGCACCCTGGCTTGAGGTGTGGTGAACATCTATTCTCCAGCTTTGTTCTGCCGTGTCAGGATTCCCTTGATTACTTGGGGTGTTTTAGGTTTCGATGTTAACTTTTTAGAACATCCCGTTTTACAAAACACCTGCCTAAGTTGTGCATGAGATTGTATTGAAGCTACAGATCCATTTAGGGGAAAACCACCACCTTGTCAAACTTTCAGTCAATAGAAAATTCAATCCATGGATGTGGTATGTTTCACCATCCAATTACATGTCCACTCATTTCTCCAGATAATACCTGGTAGTTTTCTATGTAGAGAATGTGCATATCTTTTGTTAGCTATCCACCAGATATATCCACAGTGACATGATTCTTTAAGATCTTTTATTTCTTTTTAGAAAAAGGGAAAGGGAGACAGGAAGAGAGGGAGAGAAGCATCCATGTGTGAGAGATACATTGATCAGCTGCCTCTCAATCATGCCTCACCTGGGGGCCTGGCCCGCTACCCAGGCATGTGCCCTGACTGAGAATTGAACCAGCAACCCTTTGGTTCACAGGCCAGCACTCAATCCACTGAGCCACACCAGCCAGAGCAACATTTTTAACATCTTACCATTATGTAAAGGGAATGGCTATCATGTCTTGTAGATATTGTCCCAGTGAGAAAACTCCTTCCTAGTCTCCTTGTGCTAAGCTTATTTCCATTTGAAGATAAGAAAGAAGAGTCAATGAGACTAGTTAGGAGGCCCCCACATTATTCTAGGTAGAAGTTAATAACTACTCAGAGAAGGCGGACACCCCTTACACATTTTAGGCACAGAAGCCAGACTTCATGTTGTTGTTTAGAAATGATGGCTGAGCACATGTCAGAAAGAACTCTGAAAGTTGGTAAAGTGGGCAACTGCGTGGAGGAAGGGCATATTTTCCTCTAATTCCTACTCATACCCATTGGTGTTGCTATAGTAGATAAACCATGAGAGGTACAGCAGGAAGAAGATATGTGGGGGCAGAGTCAGAGATGCAAATTAGTGATTCATCTTCCCAAACTGAAATATGTTTCAATGAAGCGTGATTGACATGTAACATTGCGTAAGTTTAAGTTGTGCAGTGTGTTGATCTGATATATTTGTATATTGTAACATGATTGTTATTGTAGTACTAGCCAACCCTTCTAGGGTGTGAGGTTGAGTTTTTCTTTATTGTGATGAGATTAAGATCTAGTCCCTTAGCAATAATAAAATATTGGCCCTGGCTGGTGTGGGTCAGTGGATTGGGTGCCCGCCTGCAAGCCGGAAGGTCACTGGTTTGATTACCAGTCGGAGCACATGTCTGGGTTGCAGGCCAGGTCCCAGTTGAGGGCGTGTAGGAGGCAACCAGTCAATGTATCTCTTGCACATCAGCACTTTTCTCCCTCTTTCTCCCCCGCCTTGCCAGCTTTCTAAAAATAAATAAATAAAATCTTTAAAATAGTAATAATAAAATATTGTTGCCTATCTTCCCCGTACTGTGCATTAGACCTCCAGGACTTATTTATCTACTAGTTGCAAGTTTTTACCCTTAAACAACTTCTCCCCATTCCCCCCACCCCCAGCCCCTGGTAACCACTATCTACTATGCTTCTGAGAGTTCAGCGTTTCTAGATTCCACATATAAATGAGGTCATATAAACTTGTTTTTCTCTGCCTGCCTAATTTGACTTTGCATACTATCCTTGCAGTGTTGTCCCAAATGGCAAGATTTCTCTCTTTTTCCTGGCTGAATAGTGGGTGTGTGTGTGTGTGCGTGCACACGTGTGCGTGTCTGTGAAGCAGGCACACCTGTCCCTCCACATGACTGCTCGAGCCCGTCTCCCCTGTTCAAGGGCCATCTGGTATTGCAGGTCGATGATCCCGTACCCCGGTCTCCTGGGTATAGAGGAGGTGACATGTAAAGAGTTAACACAGCACCCCCTTTCCTGACCTCCACCCAACCTCTCTTCCTTCTGCATTCACCCCAGGTCCTTGTGAATTCCCCATTACAACAATAAGATGGGATCTCCAATCTGCCTTCTTTGTCTTTCTTCCTCTTGTTTCATGCAACAAATCTATTAAAGAATCAAGAGGGGGTAGGGGCGGGGCAGGGGGGAGGCCCAAATTCAATCATTGTTTAAAAAAACAAAAACAGAAAAACAAAACTGTGTTCCTGAGGCAAGATATGTCCCCACTGTCCTTTCCAATTGCCAAAGGGAGGGAACTGTCACCTCTTCTCAGCAATGTTATGAGGGCGTGTCGTCATCCTAGAGATTTGCCAACTCTCCCCCGTTATTACCCCTCCACCCCCACCCCCGCAACCCCGGAGCAAAGTCTCCCAGCTCTGGGTTAGGGACGGGGGCTCACGCTTCAGAACACTGAGCCAGTTCTGCCGAAGGCCCATCCCTCCAGCCTTACCGGCCCGCGGGTGCGGAGCCCGATTTCCCCGAGAAGTTACCCCCCTCCCTGCCGTGCTGGCGTTGCCCCCTCCTATCACTCCTCAGCCACTGGAAACTTGTCTCTCGCCCCACACTTCCCCCGAGGCTGTTTTCACACACACGCTAATGAGCTTCCTGGAACTGGCGGGGGCCCGTCTGAGCCTTTTATCTGCGCTCCCCGCGGGCTGGCCCTGACCACTTCCTCCCGGCCGGGTCGCTGCGCTGGCTTCCCCTCCAGGACTGTCCTGGCGACGCCAGCTTTGCAGCCTCTCCAACGCCAGAGCTCCGGGGCGGGCGCGCCGGCCCTCCTTTTTCCAGACCCAAGTCGGGGTGGATCCCGCTGAAGTCCATGGAGTCGATATCTCCAAGGCGGATACTCAAACCTGTTTCTCAACCCTAATTTTTTTTCTTTTTTTTTTTTTTAATTGTTGTTCACCTACAGTGGCCTCCTTTTTCCCGCCACCACTTTCCCCTGCCCCACCCCCCCACCTCCCTCCCTCAATCCTCCCCCGCTGTGGCCTTGTCCCGTGTGTCTGTCACACACGCTCCTGGACTTGACCCCTCCCCTTCCTTTCCCGTCACCTGCCTCCCTCCTTCCCTTACGTCACCGTCGTCGGTTTCTTTTTTCTTTCAATGTTGGTGGTTATAGTTTCCTTGCTTCTTTGTTTTGTCGATTAGGTTCCACTTCAATGGCCCTGTGAACCCTAATATTCTTTTTCCTGGAACTTCAGGTCATTTTATCAGGTTTTTTTCAACTAATCTGAACTCCTCATCTTTCTACCCACAAAATTGTCCTCTAACTTGCAAATACAGTCACTTTGCTTTCTTCTCTACACCGACACTTGTGCTTCGGGTCGTTGTTAGGAAGAGGCATCACATGAATTGGCAGGGAATAATGCAGTTTAACACTTATGGGTTTGTGGGTAGAGATGTATATTTTTATTATTTTTACCAACAATGGCCCATATGTATATTTGTCTTTGGACATTCTTGTCAGGTAAAGGTTATAGAAAAACAT